AATATAAACATAAATACTTCTATGTATATATATATCTATATATATCAAATAAAAATATACACATATATACATGCATTTATACAAATATATATGTATATACATATATACACAGGGATATGATTGTATTTCCGTTGTGTCGTGGACTCGACATCGGTAGTCACGAGAGTGACGGGCGCAGGAGACGCGCACGATCGCATGTGATGCGATGGCCAACGTCACGCGGGTGACGGGCGTGGATTCGCTCCTGGTCATGGATTTGACCAGGGTATATGGCTAAGCCTTATGGTGGATTCCATACGGGCGTGTTTGTGTTTGCTATTGATGTGCTACTGTGTGTTACTTATTGCATGTGTTTTCATGGAAATGTCGACTGTACCGTTCTCGTTGGGAACGGGATTTCCGGGTTCAACCCGGGCTACTCACTAAGCAGTTGTGCTTAGCCCTCGTGGTTTACATTTTTCAGATCACGAGGATTACGCCTAGCGCATCCGGCAGACGACGACCTGAGAGAGACAGCATCATGTACGGGATTTACATTTTGGGTGACGAGACTTGTATTTCCCGCATTTTGTACGGTTAAATTATAACTATTCGGACATGTGTTATTTTGCGATACTGATCGCCCGTTGTATTTTCCGCTGCTTACTCTGGTTTATTTAAAATGTTTTTGGATTTCGTATTTTTGCTTCCACATTATTATTATTTTATTACTATTGTCCATGTGGCACAGCCCGTATACTGTACACGGGTTACGGGTGTCACACGGCAAGTTATCTTCTACAATTTTCTTTTACAGATATTTCATCAAACACCTTATGTGCATACAAAAAAATGATCAGAATATCACAGAAAAATAAATCAACCAGAAGAGTATTTGAATAGATTAGATAAACTATAAGAAATAGAGGAGATAGAGAAAATGTTGGAGAAAAAAATAAGATCAAATAGCAAAATGTTCCGATTTCTAAAAAATAGATTGTCACAAAAAATACTTGCATGAATTTTGTTTTCCTCCACATACATGAAAAAACACTTATCTAGTCGTAGTCGTAGTTACCTAGTCGTAGTCATAATTATCTAGTCGTAGTAAAATCACGGTCGCAATTATCTGGTCGTAGTCGTAATTATCTAGTCGTAGTGAAATCACGATCGCAATTATTTGATCGTAGTCATAGTTATCTAGTCGTAGTGAAATGACGATCGCAATTATCTGGTCGTAGTCTTAGTTATATAGTCGTAATGAAATCACAATCGCAATTATCTGGTCGTAGTCATAGTGACTTGCCGTAGGCCAAATGACCTGCCAAATGACCTACTGTAGGCTAAATGATCTGCCGCATGCCGAATGACCTGCCAAATGACCTGATGCAGGCTAAATGACCTACGCATGCCAAATGATCTGCCAAATGACCTGTTGCATGCCAAATGACGTGCCACAAGCCAAATGACCTGCCGCAGACCGCAGGTCATTTGCAGCATGTCACAGGTCATCTGCCAGACCGTAAGTCATTTAACGCATAGCGCATGTCATATTTCATAGATGGCAGGTCATCTACCGCAGTTTTCTGTTACAGACATTTCATCAAACACCTTATGTGCATACAAAAAAATGATCAGAATATCACAGGAAAAAAATCAACGAGAAGAGTATTTGAATAGATTATATAAACTATATAAGAAATAGAGGAGATAGAGAAAATATTGGAGAAAGCAAAATTTACCGATTTCTAAAAGTTAGGTTATCACACAATCATAGAGAAATATTGTGAAGGATAGTTTCGGTATTTAGAAAAAAAATATAGTATATAAAAGTTATTTTTTGTGAGATATTTTGCAAATTTCGTTTTTGTTTGGGTATATTTTACCAACTGCCCCCTGATTTTATTACATTATTTGGACTCTATAACAATGATTGTCTTCGAGTCCAATGTGTTAGAGATTTGAATACCTATTGTTTGGTAGTCGATGGAATCGGCTATTGAGCGCCCTTCAGATTAAGGTACAGAAATCGTCTCTATAAATTTGGGTTTGATCACTTGTTTCTCACATTCCTTCAGCTTTCTCGAGGCATCGGGATCATTGGGACAAATCTTTTTGACCTAGGTTAAAGATAGTTCCATGTTAGCAACACCTTTCACACTAGCTCTCTTAATAGATGAAGAAAGTCCAACACCAAATCAGAATTCACACAGATTACTATCCAATCCAGTTTTTGAATACCATTACTTGATCAGATCATAATCGATCAAGCATGAAATTAATCAAGGATTCGGTTTGGACCGAACGGTCCAGCCGTTTTGGCTTTTTTTCTCTCCTCCGTCCGGGATCAGACCGGTCGGTCTAGACCTGGTTCGAACCCTGGTCCGCATTTCTCTTTTTCTTTTCTTCTTTTTTTTCCTGCCCAGACGTTAGACCGGTCTGTCCATCGGTCTGGGCATTGTTCATCTTCTTCCTCGCGATTTTCAAGTTATCAATCAAGACACATAAGTAGTGCACAAATAATGCACAAGTATTGCATAAATAGTGTACAAGTAGTGCACATCCATGTATGGACTATAATAGATTGTGTTTATATATATAACTAATCCGCTTTTGATCATCCTTAAACTGAGAACTGAGTATTATAAAATATTTTTTTACTAAACTATATATATGTGTATATTACGTACGGATTTATAATACTCTGAATTCTGTAAGAAATATTTAATTATTTTTAAGGAATAAGTAATTAAATAAAAAGAGCACGAATAATAAGTCTGAGAAGGATTCGAAGTCGATGGACGTTCAAGAAGACCTAAAAATGGATAAAGGAGAAGTCATACTAAAAATTGGGTTGGAACGAGTCAAAACGGGCGAAAAATCGCACGAAAACACATTTCTAGGACTCCAGACCGGTCGGTCCATGGGCCAGACCGACCGAACCAAAGACAGTATGAACTGACCGAAAAGACCAAGAAAAGAACAAAAACAGCTATGAGTGATTTCTCACTTGATTTTTTTTGTTAGAAGTCTGACGTTTCAACTGTTTTGTTATGAAACGGATGGATGATCTACACAAGAAAATAGATAAACTTTCTTGATTTTCTCCAAACATTTCATTGGTAAGGATATTCTGTTTTCCAAAGAAAAAATAAGTGGAGACATTAAAAAAAATTGCCTGTAAATACCAGAATTCACTATAAGAAGAGTTGTGTAAAGGTTCATCTTAGGAACTGCGTCAACAGCTTTCTGGATGCTAGTAAAATTTCCCATGCCACGCAAGTCTACTGTCAAGACAAGCGCGACATTGTCGGAAGAAGAAGAGATGGAGAAAATAGGCATTACGCATAGAGTAACGAGGATGGCGGAGAGAGTGGTGACATACATGGTTTTGATTAGAGAGAATAATGTTTACGTGAATACTCGGTGTCTTATTTATCATCGGAGGTAATGCCGTTTTCACATGCGATGAGTTTATCTTCTTTTTTATACGCAATTTGTTTTAGTGTTTGTTCTGTTAAAGAATAGTTTTTGATACGATGAAAAATGAAAATAATTCGAGACGCGTGAATATTTGATATATTTGGAATAGATATAGTTGTTTTTTCAATGAATAATTGGTTCATCATGTGAACATGTTCAATTTAGATCCATTCCATTTTCGCTATCTATACATATTTCATTTTTTTCTTATTTTAATCTAATTTAATATTTTGCCACTTTATTATAAATTATTTTATATGTGATCCTGAGAGTTTTGATGAAATGAAATAGTAAATTTATAAATAAATAAAAAGAATTGTACTTCCCAGTCATATAATTTAGGATAAATCACCATAAAAACCCTGTACTCTTCCCAGGTCAAAGAAAAAACTCTATACTTTTTTTTTGCTTACCAATTAAATCCTATACTTGGTATGATTAACCAATAAAACCCCAAACTTGTTAATAATTCACCGAAAACCTTCCGCGTCTGCCAATTCAAATAAAAATGATGATGTGGCAATGACTTGGCTTCCAAGTTATGTACACATCATCAAAATTATGACACATCATCATTTCAAACAAAAATAAATTACATAATTTATTTAAATTAATTTATATACATATAAATTCACACACATATATATATTAAATATAAAATTACTTATAACTAATAAAACATATATATATATCATAAATTATATTAAAAATAATATATATATATATATAAATAAAAATAAATATAACTAACATATACACATATAATATATCTATTAAAAATAATATATATATGTATATATATTAGTTATACATGTAATATATATATATATATATATATATACAACTAATAAAGTAATTTTGTATTTAATATATATATATATATGTGAATTTATATGTATATAAATTAATTTAAATAAATTATGTAATTTATTTTTGTTTGTAATGATGATGTGTGCATAACTTGAAAACCAAGTTATTGTCACATCATCATTTTTGTTTGAGTTGGCAGTCGCAGGAGGGTTTCGGTGAATTATTAACAAGTTTGGAGTTTTATTGGTTAATCATACCAAATATAGGGTTTAATTGGTAAATAAAAAAGTACAGAATTTTTTCGTTGATCTGGTAAAAATACAGGGTTTTTATGACGATATCCCATATAATTTATAATAAACTCAGCGAACTAACGGATAAAAAGAATTGTACTTCCCAATTTATTACTATTATTATTAGGAAAAATGACATTATTTTTCTACGCAAAAAAATCACTGAATTAATAACAATTTCCATCACAGGTGAAAAGGGCATTAAATCTCTGTCAATGACGTTTCGTTTACGGTTACGTTTTCATGTCCAGCCACATCATGTTATTTTGCCACGTGCGATCCACATCAGATTTAATATTATTAAACAATTAATGAAAATTTTGTAATTAAAAAAAAAACTCCACAATCCCAAATCAATCTGGGAAGTTAGGGCACGAAGTCATCTCTCTCTCTTTCTTTGTCTTTCCTGTCCTCTCTTCCTTGTTCTTGTTCTCTCTCTGTTCCTCCCCTCTCCTTTCTCATCGTCTTGGTGTTATCAATCCATGGTCGACTCTGCTCTCTCTTCGTCCTTTCTCGGTATTGTCAATTCGAGTACCTATCCTCTGTCATAACCCAGGGAGCCTGGTATTTTTCTCGTTTTTCAGTGGTCGAGTTGCTCGGAATCAGTTCTCTTTTCCTATTAGGGAACGATCTAGGTACTGAAATCAATCGGAATATGACCTGAATCTACGAGATGTTTTGACTGAGTGAGCGATTCTCTCAGGATTTGATTGGGTTTTTGATCTGTTTGGTGGTGGTGTTGGCGATGGAGGATTCCGATAACAAGAGGTGTAGGTCGAGTGGCGTGACGATAGATGGCGTCATCGAGCAAGTGATACCGTACATAACCGACCCCAAGGACCGTGATTACGCGTCGCTGGTGTGCCGGAGATGGTGCAAGGTCGACGCCGAGACGAGGGAGCACGTGACGTTGTCTCTCTGCTACACGGCGAAGTCCGACTGCCTGAGCCGCCGCTTCTCAAATCTGAGGTTGATGAAGCTGAAGGGCAAGCCCAGAGCCGCCATGTTTAATCTGATTCCGGAGAACTGGGGAGGGTATGTTACCCCTTGGGTGAACGAGATCGCGGCCTCTTTCCGGCAGCTCAAATCGGTTCACTTCCGGCGTATGATAGTCAGCGACTTGGACCTTGATCTTCTGGCGAAGGCCAGAAAAGACGAGCTCGAGGTTTTGAAGCTCCATAAGTGTTCTGGGTTCTCTACTGATTGGCTTTTGAGCCTTGCTCGACATTGTAGGTTTGTGATTTTCCCTGCCTTTTTGAGTTTGATCCACATCCATGGAGAGAATTATTCTGATATCCATCGATGTGTTTTAGATTCCGCTTTTGATCTTTATCTCTTCATTTTCAACAGCCTGACGTAGAAAAGTGTTAACAATCAAGGGCTGGAAATTGTTTACTTACGAAAGATGTGATAGCTGCTAATCTGATGCTTGATATGTGGTATTGTCCATTTGTATCCCTTTGATGAGTTGATAATTAGTAATACCAAAATGGTATCTTTCCCAAAAACTTTGCAGCCTTTTTGATTCTTTTCTACACCAATGATTTTGGCTGTGGAGGTAGTGGGTCAGAAATGATGGAATCTAGGACAGGCTTGCATCCTTAAGTTGAACTACAGTAGATTCTTGGTTCTTTTTCTTGATGATTGAGCTTGTGCAATTCGTCTCCAAAATGTCGAGAACACTCAAGTACATACGAAAAGTATCAAAAACTGTGAAAATGTGCAAACCCCCTCTCGGTTTTTGTACGATTCTTTTTATAGAACTTCAGAAATATCGATATTGGGAACATCGATATCGATGTTGTCCAACATTGATATTCTTTCCAAATGTGGCGATCTCTAGGTTCTAGAACGTCGATATCAATGTTGTTAAAAGACGATATGGGGACTGCTCAGATCTCAAGGTTTTCGGGACGTCGATATCGATGTTGTGGAACATCGAGATTGGGAATTGAAGTCTGATCTCGCGCTGACATGGAACGTCGATATCAAGGTTATTCAACGTCGATATCAAAGTTCTCAACATCGAGATTCTTCCTGTTTTACTCCTAAGTCTGTTTCTCGCTTGTGGCAAGTCCGCGGCCATCCTTAGCTCGTCCGTGATTATCCACTTGGTCCATTTAAGCTCCGAAAACACTGTTTTAGCTCTGTTTTTGTCCAGTTACGCGAATATTCCTCAATTGACATCAAAGAGCAAAGAAAACGATATTTGTACCTAAAATGCAATCTAAATCTAAATATGTACGGAAAAGAGAGGTGAAATGCAAATAAAACCATAGAAAAATAACGTAAAAAACGGATGTTATCACATACAAACACATTTTTTATATTAGTCTTAGTCCTTCATTCTTATTTCTTAAGTAGGTTTGTTTTAATTAACCTTCAGTCCGGTCAAAGTGGGTTTCGGCCAAACCGGATTATCAATTCTACTTGTCCTAAGGTTGTACACTTACCTGTCCGTACCTCTATTTCGGTTACTTGTTTATTACGATTATGGATTCCATTGGTCAATTCTGCCGAACTAAAAGTTAGTCTAGCTCAAACCATCTATTTCCCGGTTTTTAGGTCCGATATGAAGTCTCGGACCATGCTTTGGTCTGCCCCGGACCAGTCTGGTTCTACTTAGTCTGATACAATAATCTCTCGGCGTGAAAAGATAAGGTAGACCATACGGTCTACGTTCCAGACCGCCTAGGACTACGTTCTAAACCGGATGGTCTGGACACTAGTTTGCACGTTCCAACTTCATCTTCTTCCCAGGAAATTCTGTAAACTTAGTCTGAATGGTTTACCATCAGTCCTTTTGGTCCAATGGTCTGAAACTTCACCAATCACATATTTAGAACCAACGTTGTTAATGGCAGAGGTAAGCGAACTGGTTCACGTTACAGAAAGAGAGAGTGTTTTACTGAACAAGGGAGCTTCACGTTCTGCGAAGGTCCTCAGATTCGCAAGGGAGAGAAAGAGAGAGTGTTTTGCTACCGATTAAACTAAGGTTAATCCCCCAAGTAGGAGGTGTCACAGTGGTAAAAAGAAGAAATTATGGTGGTGGTTCAACAGAATGGGTGAAATGTTTCGTCAGATTTTTCACCCTTCGACGGACCGGATGAACTAACTCTCAATTCGATCCGTTCTGCTTCATCTTAGTCCGACTCAGACTGAATTGTGGTCCGAACAGACCACACTCTTCTTCCCTTTCTTCCTTCTCGTGCTGCCTACTTGGTCCGGATGATATAGATTCAGCCCATAATTGAGGTTTTCCCCGTGAACTCTCGATTCGAATAATCTATTCTTCATCCGATTCGATCATAAAATTTTTGGGTTATTACAAAAATGGTCATATCTTTTTAAATAGATGAGTTTTACAAACTATGTTAGATGTCTACGTATTTTAGGGTTTGCTAAGGATAAGTAAAATAGGAAAATCAATAATACCACCATCGGGGCTCCAAGAGTTTGAAAGATTATCAAACCATAAGAGCCAACAAACTCGTTTAATTCATTAACCTAAAACACTACGTAGTCCTATACTGCATAATATATTTGTCTATAATATCTTACGCTCATAAAGTAAAACTCAAATTGAACTTATTCAACTTCTCCGAAAATTTGAACACTCAAAAACCAAAGGGATCTAAGGGGAGAGATTTTGAAAGATCATAATATTATAACCGATTGGTATATATTTTTATAAAACCAAAAGATCCAAACTGAACTTATATCGAACCAACATACATCTTGGTAACTATCGCTTTAGCACAAAAAAGACGTGAATAATCCTATTTGTGTTGCATCATGGCGGAGATGATCAAGATAATGTCTGAAACATTGTACAAATATTCCATTTCTTTAATGATCGAGGATGGATCAGGCGAGAGCTTGAACGCGGCCAAAGTATCCATGCAGTTGAGTGCCTGATGCATAACACCCGAGGCTTCTCTGATCAGAGTGTCTCCGTCTCCTCTCGCCAAACACTTGAGGGCATCGTCAAGGTAATACAGAGCAAGGCCATATTCCCCTGAGATATTCTTGTAGACACCCTTTGAGGAAAGATCAGTTGCTTTCTCGATGTTCAAATCGATATGTTTTCGTGTTTCTGTTGCGATTTGGCGTGCAGAATCGATGATGAGTTTGGCAAGGCTGAGAAGATCTGCTTTCGTTGTCTCGGGTTTCGATTTTAAGAACTTCAGACAAAACCCAGGATTTGTTGCCCTCGAGCAGATGTGTTCGATTTCAGATTCTAAAGGTTTGATGGTAAATCTTGCGGATGAGGAGACAACAAGAAATAGACAAATCGCAAGAGGAGCCATCAGAACATTGGTTTTGAGGTTGGAAGCCATTCTTATGTTTTAATTCAATGAAAACTCTGAGTGATATGTTTGAGTTTTGTGTTATTTTATAGACTTCTTAAGCTTGCATAGAAATAACTTCCATAATAGGATGATTTTATCCATTTGTCCTATGTTATTTTATCCATTTGTCCTATGTTTTATTATTCTTGAAATTTAAACTTTTGAATATTTTCCTTGGAAGGTTGATTCTATTCTTTTAGAGTTGCAACATGAAAATCATAAAGAAGAAGAAAAAAAGAAATCTATAGAGTATGTATTGAAACTTTTGAATATTTTCTTTAGAAAGTTGATTCCATTCCTTTAGAGTTGAAACATGAGAATCCTAAAAAGGAACAAGAAAAGAAATCCATAAAGTGTGCATTGAAAATTTTGAATATTTTTCTTAGAAGGTTGATTCCATTCTTTTATAATTGTGATATAAAAATCATAAAAAAGAATGGAAATAATAGAATCTATGACACAAAAGGACAAATCTATATTGCTTTAAAACTATACACATATATTGCATTTTCCATTTCAACCTTATTTGTGTTGAGCATTTATTAGAAAATATATACAGACCGAATGCAAACACGTGAAAAACTCACCTCTTAGACTCTGAACTCGGCTGAGTAGCTCAAACGAGTCAGATCCGAAACCCTACCTTGAACTTGCCGCCGATTTGAGCTCCTCCGTCTGTGACTACCGTCGATTTCTCCTCATAATGGCTTCTGTTTCGTTCTCTTACCGCCGATTTGCAACCAAAACACACGAAACGCCACAGATCAGGATTCAGATCGAAAAATAGGTTTCGGACCTTATCTCAACACCAAGATTTTGCCGCCCATTCGCCGAACTTTGTCCTCAAGCAGACTCTGCTACTCATAATTGTAAATTTTAAAAATATTTTTTTAAATAGAACCGAATCTAAATTAGTAAAATGTTAAAAATTGAATGCAAATAAAACCTATTAACCTGGGAGCAAATTGATAAAAGAGACAGAGAGAGAGAAATCGTTTCTGAAGAAATTTTCTCCTTGATTCCATTCATAATCTGTACACTCCTATTTATACAAGAATGAAAAATAACAAACTCTTAACAAACCCAAAGAATGAATGACGTATAATTCTATCTGCTAAAATTACAGATCAGCTCCATAAACCAGCAACAACCTTCAACCATCTTAACCGGAATCAAGACCTTTTCTGTGTATCAGAGTCTTCATAAATAGAGCATTGGAAATGAAGCATTGAAACCTATATTGTTCTGGTATTTGAATTGTGATACTCCCCCTCAAGATGGGGAATGGAGATTGGAAGTCCCCATCTTGTGAAGTAAATGTCGAAACAAATCACCCGCCACTGGTCTTGTGAAAATGTCAACAATCTGGTCCTTCGAATGAATATGCAGAGGCTTCAAGAACCCAGATTTCAGATGTTCCCTGACGAAATGACAGTCAATCTCTATATGTTTGGTGCACTCATGGTAAACAGGGTTATTAGCAATGTGAATGACGGATTTACTGTCACAAAATAAAGTAACACGTTCCGGAATCAGAACCTGTAGCTCACGAAGAAGCCCAGAAATCCAAATCAGTTTCGATGTTGCATGCGCCATTGCTCTATATTCTGACTCTGCACTGCTACGTGACAATGTTCTTTGTTTCTTTGATTTCCAGCTAATCAAAGAGATCCCCAAAAACACACAAAACCCTGTAATTGATCTACGCCTATCGGAACAAGACGCCCTATCTGCGTCTGTGTAACCACTGAGCCGAATAACAGAGTCCGCTAAATAGAATAATCCTTGTGCTGGAGCCGATTTAATATAACGCAAAAGACGATAAGCAGCAGCGAGATGCTCTATCTTAGGATCTGACAAAAATTGACTTAACTTTTGTATAACAAATGATATGTCAGGTCTCGTGACTGAGAGATAAATCAATTTTCCAAGCACTTTCCGGTATAGAGTTGGCTCAGGAAGAGGAAACCCTGAGTCAGAATGCAATTTCACCTTTGGATCCATAGGAGACAAACTGGGTTTACAAGCCAACATACCAAAATCCTCTAGGAGCTCCAAAGCATATTTCCGTTGGCACACATGAATCCCTTGTCTTGATCTCGCAATTTTAAGACCCAAAAAATAACGCAAAGTGCCCAGGTCTTTCAACAGAAAATGCTCACAAAGAAATGTCTTGGTGTCACTGATAAAAGAATCACAGTTACCAGTGATCAACAGATCATCAACATATACCAGCACGACGACAAACATGGAGTTGTGATGTCGATAGAAAAGTGAATTATCAGCTTGAGATTGTGAAAAGCCTCCTAAAACCAGAGTCTCAGACAGTTTAATATTCCACTGTCGAGAAGCCTGACGTAGCCCGTAAATGGACTTTTTCAGACGACATACAGCACCTGCTTGAACTTTCTCCCCCTGGATGTCACAGTAACCTGGTGGCAACTTCATGTACAATTCTTCATTCAAATCTCCATTCAAAAAGGCGTTGGAGACATCCATCTGATGCAATGACCGATTCCGAGAAGCAGCAAGAGCTAGAATAATTCTTACCGTAGTTAATTTAGCAACCGGGCTAAAAGTGTCTAAGAAATCAATTCCCTCTTGTTGCAAGTATCCTTTAGCAACTAACCTTGCTTTATACTTATCAATACTGCCATCAGCTTTATACTTGACCTTATAGACCCATTTGCAGCCAATGGGAATCTTGCCTGGAGGTAACGAGCATATCTCCCAAGTTTGTGTTCGATTCAGAGTGTCTAGTTCAAGGTGCATAGCTTTCTGCCAATGTTCTGAAGAAGCAGCCTGGGTATAGGTTTTTGGTTCAGGTATGGAGAGAATGGAAAGGGAAAAATGTCGAAATGGCTGGCTAAGTTTAGAATAAGAAAGAAAAGGAGAGAATGGATAAAAAACAGATGGTAAAGATGTGGGTGGTGAGTGATGTAATAGGTGATAACAATGATATTATGATAGGTAACTGGGAGCCTTTGTTATCCGCTGTGACTTACGAGTGTTGTCTATCTGAGGAAAAGAGGAAGAAGACGCAGAAGGAATGTCATCAGAAACTGAAATCTGAACTGGATCAGAAACAGAATCGATGATCTGATCAGAAGGAATAATGGGGGAGCCGAAATGGGAAGAGGTGAATTATCATAATATTGATAAGAAGAAGGTGTGGAAGGAAAAAACTCAATGGAAGGCCGAGATAAAGACTTTGAGGCAAAAGGAAAAACAGTCTCATTACACACAACATTTCGGGAGATTGATACAACATTGGTCTCAAGATTGAGAACCTTGTAACCTTTAATACTTGCTGGGTATCCCAAAAAAACATGTGGTACAGCCCTTGGTGAAAACGTATGGCGGTCCTTGGCATGCGTAGACACATAACAAAGGCAACCAAAAGATTTCAGATGAGAATAAAAAGGCTTTGTTTTCAGAAGAGCCTCATAAGGAGACTTATCCTTTAAAACTGGTGTTGGAATCCGATTTATTAGATAGACTGTCGTGAGAATGCATTCTGTCTAATAAACCAGAGGAATATTTGACTGAAACAGGAGGGAACGGGCGACATTTAGTATGTGTTGATGTTTCCTCTCAACAACCGAGTTTTGTTGAGGAGTATATGGGCAAGACCGATAATGAATGAGACCATGCTTAGAGACAAGAGAAGGGAACGAGAGTTCTTTCGCATTATCAGAACGAAATGCCTTAATGAGTTTGCCATATTGAGTGGAAATATGGATAAAGAACTCAAGAAAACAAGATTGAACATCATTCTTATTCCGTAAAAGATATACCCAAGTAAGTCTAGTACAATCATCTACGATTGTTAAAAAGTAACGATGTCCAGAAAGAGAAGAAATATGAAAAGGCCCCCAAATGTCAAGATGAACAAGAGAAAAAGGCTCGTAAGAAAGTTTGCCCGAAACCGGGAACGGGTGTCTCCTCTGTTTGGCAAGAGGGCAAACATGGCAACAAGTAGATGACACTGAGGAAGGATGAAACTGAAGTTGTGAAGAAGAACCAAGAGCTTGGACTCGATAGGATGATGGATGACCGAGGCGAGTGTGCCAAAGATCGAAAGAAGCAGATGCTGATAGAGCAGTACAGAGGGTAGAAGGAATGACAGAGGAAGAAAATTGGTCACTCTGTAGCTCGAGAAGATATAAATTGTGGCTTTGTCTACCCCTCCCAATCATCAAGGCCCGAGTAGGATCCTGAATGATATATGAATCATGAGTAAAAGAGACAACAAAAGAAGAGGATTTTGTCAGAGCACTGATACTCAAGAGATTAAAATGAAATGAAGGTACAAATAGAACCGAATAAAGTCTGAGATCAGGAGATAAAATTACAGTACCAGATTGGTCAACAGTGATGGTAGAACCAGTCGGTAATGTAATGAAGACCGGGGAAATATGACGAAGATTAGAGAACATACGTTTGTCACAGCAGATATGGCAACTAGCTCCCGTGTCCAGAATCCAAAAAGAATGAGCAGGCAAAATAGGGAAAGGTAAAGAAGACAGAATGAAATTGGTACCTGATGTGGTAGGCTGAGTGGTTGGGGCTGCAACTTTGGAATCAGAAGCAAGAGAGCTTAACCCCTTAAGATGAGACTGTAAATGATCAAACAGCGCTTGAGCTTGCTCCAGAGAGTATTGTATAGAAGAATCTGACGCCGACAACATGGAATTCCCAGAAATATCAGATGTAACCATGTTTATAGGAGCGCGGTTTGTCTCAGTGAGATAAGGGCGGGGTTTAGGTAAAAGACCAGGTTTATGAGACGGAGAAGAACGATTAGAGGGTGGGTATCCATGAATTTTAAAACAACGAGCAACTGTATGTCCCGAGATCCCACAGTGAGAACAAAATGGTCTAGGCTTGGAAGAAAAAGAGGATCTAGGTTTAAAAGAGGGGGCAGTAGCTTAGAAGGCAACAAAATCAGAGGGAGAGGGTATGGTAATGCGTTGGTGCTCCTCTTGGGCAATCATATTATAAACCTTTCGAATAGAAGGAAGCGGGTCCATCAATAAGATTTGTCTTCGAGCCGGGTTAAAAAATTCAGAGAGCTTCATCAGGAACTTAACCACATTCTTCTTATCACAATACTCCTGAAGACGATTTTTCGAATCACAGGTGCAATGACCACAAACACAAACGGGTATAGGGTCATGCATGCATCTTCAGTTCTTTCCAGAGGGGAGTTCAACTTTGTAAAAAAAGTTATTCAGGTCAAGAGATCCTTGCTGCAATGATTCAATCTTCTGTTCTATATTAAAGATCTTAGACGTATTTTTATGCTTGAACTGAGTCTCAAGAGTGGTCCACTTCAGATGTGCATTTTCAATATACATAACCATTGATTTCAAGTCAGGTTCAACCGAGTTATTTATCCAAGCACTCACCATTGCGTTACATCGTAACCAAGAACCATAATCAGAGTGAGTTTCAGGAGGTTGAGGGATAGTACCATGGATAAACCCAAGCTTGTTTTTGGCCGTGAGGATCTGGATGAAAGACGTCGCCCAGAAATTATAGTTTGATTCATTCACCAGTTTATCAGTGACCAAGGAAATACTCGAAGAATCAGCAGGATGTAAATAGAGAGGATTAGCATAAGGATACAGAGATGAAGGAGAATAAACAAGAGGGTCAGGGATGGTCGTTTCAGCAGCAGACGAAGTTTTAGTAGCCATGGATGAAGGCTAAGAAACAGAGAAAAGAAGAAGAGAAAAATAAATGGATGGCAGAGGAAGGGTTCCCTCTGATACCATATTAAGTATTAACCAGGGAGCAAATTGATAAAAGAGAGAGAGAGAGGGAGAAACCAAACAAAACACAAATGAAACAATACAAAAAAAAAAAGTAATAATAAATAGGAAGAACCAAACCGAGATGTGGTCAGTACGGAGAGATCTCATTCTCCGAAAAAGCAGTTTCCAATGAGGCTTCACCGAAATGAGAAGCGGTCAAATTCTACCTTCTCAATCCAATGGGGTTTTAACCCTAATAACCCACTTGGGTCGCAACAATTTCAGTGTACACCACCGAAAAAAAAAATAAAATTTGCGACCTTATTACGACTAATATATAACTAATATACAACTAAAATAAGAGTAGTTTATTAGTCGTAATAAGTTGTATATTAGTTATATATTAGTCGTAATAAGGTCGCAAATTTTTTTTTTTTTTTCGGTGGTGTACACTGAAATTGCTGCGACCCAAGTGGGTTATTTGAGTAATATTCCCCAATCCAATGCCTTCTTCTTCTTTTATTGCAATTTAGTAATCTCCACTGAAAACCCAAACCAGAGATCTCATTATCCCGTCTCCATGTTCTTGGCGGCAGTTACACGCCCTTTTGTTTCCCAGAAAACCCTTCTTCACCATTAGCATCCACTGACCGTTTCTCTTCTCTGATTCCATGGCCTGTTTCTTGAGCTGTGTCCGGTTCGGTGACTCGGTCAGGAAGACGACGACGGCCGAGCCAGTGGGCCGAGTTGGGTGTGTTGATTCGGGTGTGAAGAGTTACAGTTGGGAGGAAATTGAATCATTGACATCGAATTTTGTCCGGTTGATCGGTTCGGGTGGATACAGCAGCGTTTACATGTCTCGTTTGCCTGGTTCGGACAAAGCGGCTCTCAAGGTTCATGTCGGAAGCCATCGGCTCTATCAGGTTTTCAGAGTGGAGCTCGGTGTCTTGCTTCGACTTCATCATCCCAACATTGTCAAGCTCCTTGGTTACTTTGATGATTCGGGTATGCGAATTTCGGGTTCTTTATTCGAATTTTGATTGAGTTTACCTCCAAATCCATTAGGGTTCTTAGGTAATAAGTTCAATCGATTGTTATTCTCATATCATCTTCACTACTTTGCTTCAAGTAGAAGCAATGGGAGAACTTTTTCACCTAATTATTCAGCAAGATACTCGTAGAGTGAGTACCTTTCTTCACATCATCAATGAATCATGTGGATTTGGATATCCATTTGTAGATGTTGTGTTGTAGATTTGGTTGCAATAAAACAAATGGAATTAGATCTGAAGTCCTTAGTTAACTGATTCTTGTCCTTTTGTTGTCTGGGAAAACCCGAAACCGATGTTCTTGGCTTCTCGTCTTAACAGAAGAAAACGGCGCTCTTCTGCTCGAATACCTTCCTAATGGAAACCTCCAAGAAAAGCTCAGCTGCAACAGTAAACAAGTCTTGCCATGGAGAAACCGAACCTCCATTGCTTTTCAGCTGGCTCAAGCTATAGAACACATGCACGAAAAATGCAGCCCGCCAATCGTGCACGGTGATATCAAGTCCTCGAACATCCTTTTAGACGAACGCTTCAACTGCAAGCTCTGCGATTTCGGGTCAGCCAAAGTCGGGTTTTCGTCAATGGTTCAGCCTCCTCCTCCAACAATGTCACCGAGGTCTAAACAAGTTATGATGATTGGTTCTCCAGGTTATACAGACCCACATTACTTGAGAACCGGGGTTGCATCGAAGAAAATGGATATGTATGGGTTCGGGGTGGTGGTTCTTGAGTTGGTGTCGGGAAACGAAGCCTTTTGTGCGGAGAAAGGACTCATGTTGGTGCATAAGGCCAGGCCGTTGATTCATGAGATTCTTGATTTGGGTTCGGACATTGCAGAAGAGAAGGTGAAAGAGTTCTTGGATCCGAGGTTGTCAAGAGACAGTCTTGACATTGAAGAGGTTAAGGCAATGCTCGTTGTGGCCGCCTTGTGTCTTCATAGTTCACCTTCTCTCAGGCCTTCGGCTTCTCAAGTGGTGAAGAATCTTGTCAGGAACGTCCCTTCTCTCTCGTTCCTCGGTTGTGGTAAGGAGGTAAAAGATGCATAATCGATGGGTTGATGTTGTAGGGATTAGCTTTCTGTTACACACACACACACATATTTCAGTAAGAAGAAAGAAGAAAATGATAGATCATGTTGCAGTCAGATCTTGTCTGGTGTCTGAAGGATTTAGACGAGGACAAAGATCTGGACGTCTTTGAGGTTTCTGCATGTTTAGTTAGTGATTCAAAGATTCAAGTGGAAGCTGTATAGTTGAATAATGTATTAAAAACCATTTTCTTGGTTTAATGTTGGTTTCCGGTTTACTTTGGCTTACTGCTGATTTACTTTTGAGTTTGTATAAGAACCATTTTCTTACTGAAAATTCGTCCCATTCTCTTTCCTCTCGAATTCAAATTCCCCAAGTCTCAATAGTCAATAGTTTCACTGGAAAAAAAAGGCTAAGCCTTTTTGACCCGTTTGCTCTGAACAAGGAGCCCGTGAAACCCAATTGTCGTTTCTCGAAACCGAGAGATGGGCTTCTGTTAATTTGTGATCTCTGGGCATAATCGGAGAAAACGCGAGTTCGGGAGGCGATCTCATTGACAATGTCATCTCTGGCGCTAACGCTACCGATTCCGTCGGCGACGGCGAAGCATGCTAAGCTTGGAGCGGCTCTCTATGATGGCCGCCGAAATTGGTCGGTAAGTACGAAGCTGTGGGAGAAACCCAGAACTAGAAGAGGGTTTGGTCTGTGCTGTAAGGCGGAGCTGTCGGAGTTGGCTCCCGCCGCTTATGGAGCTCTTCTTCTTGGCGGCGGCCTCTTCGCTTGTATGTTGCTAGTACTACTACTACTACTGATCTGTTCTTTTCTGTGTCTGATTTTGGATTCTGGGTCGTTTTTGTTTGTTCGCTTATATGGAATTTGTTGTGGGGAATTGAAGATAGCAAATCGGGAAGCAAGGGTTCTCTGTTCGGGGGCTTGACCGGTTCCGTTCTCATGGCATCTGTAATTTCTCTCTCTCTTGTTATGTTCGCTTCATCTTTCAGCTTCTCGTTCGTTGTGGTTTATGTTAATCATATGGTTTATTGTATTAATGGTTGAGTTCTGTTGTTAGAATATTAGCTGAATTCATCTTATGAGCTCGCAACATAGTTTTATCTTAGAGAGAAACCACTTGTCCGAACATGGTTGAAGCCTTTGTTTCAGTTTGATAAGTGTTCCTTAGCTCTTTTAGATGTATGAATTTTCTGTATCAAGGAGTGTGTGTGTGTGTGTGTGTCTTGAGTATTCTATTAATATTGCTCAAGTTCGTGAGATTCACTTGGATTTTGACGAATAATAAGTGATCTTATACGGCAAAGCTTGAGCTTTCTAAGCTTTATTCATCCATGGTTACAATGTCCTGAAGGTTGCTCAAAGTATAGGCCTTGCAATGATCAACTCATTATTCAAAGCTTCTTGATTCTTTCCATGAGGTTCCAGTTTTTTGCTTCTTTTTTTTTTTAACAAAGATTCCATTTGAATGCGTGATCATCGGGGTTTCTGAACTGAAAGCCTCCATGTTTTCCTGTTCAATCTCTGCAATGATCATACCGATATTGTGATCGTAAAACTCCATTCTTGGGGATATAATTGGATTGGGGGCACCCTCCTAGCCGATCACTAACTTTAGCACTCGATTTCTGGAAAATCATGTAGGCCTATTTCCTCATGAAAGAACCAGAGACCAGAGCACTCGGTGATGCCATAGGATTGGGTTCTGCCCTCCTATTCTCTTCCATTTTCGGTACGAGCTTCTTGTTCTAGCCCTGTGTTTTAGTAAGACATTCACTGCCCTTTTTTATATGTTTGAGTAAAACATTCAATTCATTATCACCAAGCTCTCGCTGTTCTTGTATGACGTTTCTGGTACTTGGATGCAGGATTACGTTTGGCATCTACTCGGAAGCCGGTCCCAGCAGGGCCCTTGCTTCTTGTCTCCATTGGCATGTTGGCTTTCTTTGTAATGGCGTATATGCAAGACAGCCTACCTGCTTGATCCAGACCGGTCCTGAGTTGATGTAAGTGTCTTTGGCAGCTTGTTCATCCATCCATGACACCATTTAAAGCCCATGCGTACGAGAAAAGGGTAAACTACATGATAGCACCTTTGTCAAGGGTTTGATCTGCAGCCCACAACCCAATAAGTTAGCTTGTCTTTTGTGACACCACCAATAATTGTAGAGCTTTGTGGGCATGCAAGGGAGAGGACACTGTGATAATAGTTGACATTCCAAACAAACATTAAGGAAGGTTGGTCCAATGTCAAGACAAGAAACTCATGTCAAATATATTTGCTTATCCATTTCGAATTGAAAAGAAAAAGATAAATAATTTCAATTTGGTAATCTTTGTGGTATATGAGCAAAGATAGTGAATGAATGCGACTTAAGGTGAATGCCCAATTTGGAGGGCACAGAACAAAAGACACAAGTCACCACATCATTTATGTCTGAAGTGACTTTGTTGTGTATAGTTATGAGGAATTTGTCCTTTGTATCTTTTTTTTTTTTTTTTGCCTTTTGGACTTTTCATATGCGTTGAAATTTTGGGGTTTGATATCATCATTGAGAACCCTCTCGTGAATAAAGTGAAGCCCCCCGCTAGGCCTCACTTTCATGCATCATCATATCCTATCATATCATATGCACATTTGATGAAACATTCTCTTGTGGCAGAAAATGAAAAGGAGAAATCAAATTGATTTAATCAGAAAAGTTGCGGTTTTCGTGTCTGGTTTGTGTACTCGTGGGAGCCAATTACACGAACGCCCGTGTTTCTATTTGTTTACATTCGATCTTAAACCCCCAAATGTAAATAAAAAAAAACACAAATAATTTCTTAAACCCTAATTCTTTTTTATTCAAACGTGAGTATATGTGTGTGGCTGGAAATAGATTTTGCCAAAAAAAAAAAAAAATCAGTAGACTTTTTTCTATATTTACTTTTTTTTAATACTCCTAGTAAACGATATTAAACAAATCTCCCATAAATAATAAATAATATTGTTCATAATAAAATTTCCAAAATCGCTATATATATAAATAACAGACTATCCAAAAAATTACATGCAGTCGTGGTACGATAATCAAATCTCTCAATATTTGGTAAAGTCTAACGGCGTTGGATGGTAATGGATGATCTTGTTCTCACCCCTACGAGTAAATCATCGTTCTTCTTATAATTACGTTCTATACGTCGCCAATACGATATTGATTTTGGTACATATATATGTATATATATATATATATGTTTAATCTTCTACTAAACATGATTTGGTTTGTTAGTAAAGGTTAATCTCGTGCGGTGCATGGGAAGACGTGAAGGGTCCTTTGTTGGCGTTTGGAAGCAATGAAGAAGAAGGAGAGGAAACATCAAACCCTTTAATGGATATGAGGTAATTGAGGAAAGCAAGTATTCTCTGTCGCTAATCAAGTAATTAACCCCAAAGGGTGTCGGTAATCCCACACATAATCATGTTTTTGGAATCTCTTAATTACTTCGTTAATCAAATACAAAAAAGAAACAATCTTTAATTACTTATGGATCTAATTTAAGACCGCAGACTAAGGTTTTGCTTTGCTTTATGTAAAGCAGCAATAATCACATTGACTAAAACCCTCTTTTCCCATGATACATACAACTCATGCAACATGTGGTGGTCATCCTTCCTTCCTCCATACATTTCTCAATAATTATTAGGGTTTTGGTTGGAGTATAAGATATACGTACGGCTTTATATTTTAATCGAATTAGTTCGAATAAATGATTAGTTTGATTTTTTTTTTAAAACTTAACAAATCATGTTGAAACTGAATATGAAAATAATTTAACAATTAAACAAAATATTTGTAAAAAATATAAATCGAAATTCATACGAAAACCAACATAAAAACTAAATAAAAACTAAATAAAAACTAAAAAAAGAGAAATAAAATACAACTGAAATTCAAAGATAGAATTTTTTTTATATAAAAAATCTGTCTGCCGAACCTACGACGAAAGACGTCACAAGTATTTGATTATAGAGAAAATATCTTCAACTCTATTAAATTAAAGTACATAATTTATATAATTTATTATAAATCTGTAATAACAAGAAACGATATTTATTAGGAGGGTTGGCATGTTAGACTTAGGCCTTCTTATTTTATCATATCCACATAGATTATTGTTTATTTTTTTAGGAAAAATTCCAAATAAATATATCAATTTGCTAATTTCTTGCTGATAAATATATGAATTTGGAAGAAAATTGTGAATTGATATATTTTTTTGGAAGATAAAAAATTCATGTATTTATCAGTAAGAAATTAGTAAATTGATGTATTTATTTAGAAATTTTCCTTTTTTATTATAATAATTCCCTTTACTCGTTTCGTTACTTTAAAGAATACTTATTATTATTATTATTATTATTATTATTATTATTATTATTATTATTATTGTTGTTGTTGT